TTATAATGCTATAACTTATTGAAAAGTGTATTGATCAATATAATTTTTTTATGGGAAATACTATTTTCTAATAATCTCTTTTTTATTCTACATACTTTGTCTTAATCAGGATATTAATAAGGAACTAGCAGTTTATGAAGCTTTTGGAATAATCCACCAATTTTTTAAAATTAAACACTATCTAAAGATTTGCATCGAAGCGTTTTTTTTTGATAGTGATTTTAATCACTGTCAGATATCATTATACTTGATCCAACTATGCCACGTCACCACTGTACCGCAACCCCCCTTTGCTGGGTTTTTTTTTTAAATTTTATTAAAATTATTGATAAGTTTTATAAAAAAATGAATACTTCATTGATTAAAATTTCAAGGATGCCATAAAAGTAATTAGTCTCCACTTCTTAAAAAAAATTGATCTCATGATAAAATAAATGCTCTTTCCACTTAAAGATTCTTTTGTACATACACTTGAAACAAGTGCTTATAGATATTTTTATGTTAAATAATTACTAATACTCATAGATTATGAGTTATAATATAACATATTATTCCGTGCTTCAAAAAATAAATTATTGCGACAAATTTTATTTTTAAAGTGTGCAACAATAATTTACTTAGAATAACCACTATCGTTAAATTATTGACACTGTATAAAAACAATGGTGTTATACAGGGTGTTCAGTAAGTCAGGAAACGGGTTTCTATTGTTCTCATTGTTACAAACAATGAGAACAATAGAAACCCGTTTCCTGACTTACTGAACACTCTGTATATGTTTTTTTGTTTATCAAGTAGGTATTTATTATATTTATTTATATGAACATCAAAATTCCTATTGAAATTCCTGTATTTAAATACTATTTTTAATTTTATTCATTAGATTTATTTATATTTTTTAACTCTTACAAATAGAACTTTAAATAATATTTTGTGTTGTTTCAGATAAAGAATTTATAATGATTGTTATTCAAAATCCTACCGAAGTTTAACAAAATATAAATCATAAATAACATACAAAACCTAGAAAATTTAGAAATAAGTTAATTCTATCTGATTTAAGTATAATTACTTGTAGAATTATATACTGGGAAACCGGAAATATTTTTTAAATGAAGGAGACAAAAATTTAATAGCTAAAAATGTGCTTGATTTGATTAGTCGATAAAAGATAAAAAAGCTGGTAAAGGTATTATTTTTAGTGATCAGATAAAACAAAATCGATAGTTTATAATTATTACTCTTTAAAATGCATAATTTTTTTTATTATATTACTTTAATAACTATTAATAATGTACTAAAATACAATTTATAAAATTACCTTGTCATTAACTTTGGAAACTATCATGGTCAATTTACGGAACTGTCATAATCAAACTTTTTTAGTAAAATAATATTTGCTAATTCAAAAATTAATACAGGCTTGTTAAATTTTACATATGCTTAAGAATAATCTTAGGTAAATGTGTTATGAATACTTTTTAAATACATTTGGAATTTATTTGTATTTAGAATATAAAATATTTTTTAATGTAGCATTATCCATTTACTATACTGGCTTAACTACTATGGTTCCTTCAATAATAAAAACTACAATCTTTATCAAAAAACATGCAGCTGTGAATTATATCTTTTTTTTTCAGTAATCAACCCTAAGGCTGGTTTTACAACTTTCTTCTTTTATATTCACTCCATTTTTCCCTATTAGGGACTATTATTTTTAGTTACCTATAAGGTTTGCAGTCTGGCATCTTTAATAATTTTATTCATCATTGTTTTTTTTGTCCGTCCTCTACCTCTCTTGCCTTGTATCTGTCTTTCAAAATTTTGTGATGTAGTTCATTCTCGTGTTTTAGAGTATGTCCAAATAGTCTCTATCTTCTTTGTTTGATTGATCTTTTTAATTTTCTTGATTCGTCTATTGAATTAGGTACACTGTCATTTGTGTATTGCCCGATATTTAAAGGTAAAGGAGACATACAGGAGTGTGAAAATTATAGAGGCATAACGCTTATGAGTCACAGTATGAAAATTCGGAAAAAGATAATAAATAAGAGAATAAGAAATGAGACATCGGTATCTAAAAACCAGTTTGGATTTATGCCTGGTAAATCAACAATGGAGCCATTATTTTGTGTGAGGCAACTAATAGAAAAGTTTAGGGAAAAAAAGAAAAAGCTTTGTATGGTATTTATAGATTTGGAGAAGGCGTATTATAGAGTACCGAAAGAGGTTTTAAAGTGGGCATTAATGAGAAAAAGAGTTCCGAAAAGGTACATTAATATAATAGAGGATATGTATGATGGGACTTGTACCAGGTTAAAAAGTGTAAGAGGAGTATCAGAAGGTTTTAGGGTAAGAGTCACAAGAGTACACCAAGATTCTTCTTTATTCCCTTACTTGTTTTCTATAGTGATGGTTGAAATTATCAGAGAACTACAAGGAGAGGTGCCATGGTTTGCATACAATATAGTATTAGTAGGAGAAAATAATGACGGTATTAATCAAAGCTAGAGGTGTGGAGATTAGCTCTTTAAAAAAAGGGTTTAAGAATAAAGGAGTAAGACAAAGCATGTTGTTATCTGTGTTAGATGTGTCATAAATGCTACATCGACAAACAGGTTAGGAGGTATCAAATTTTGTACACTTTACTCTCCACTCTCTTTCTAGTTCTCCGATGCACTTGAACGCCACTAAACGTATTATTGTATATTACATTGTCCAGTGTGGGATAAATAATTTTGTTATCTTGGTTTCCGTAATTTTCGACTAACCTTAACCCCTCTCAAAGCTTGGTACTTCTTGTCACCTTTGTCAGTCGACCGGTTCGATACGCTGTAGTTTTATTTTTAGTTGAGTGCACTGCAACTTATTTAAATATTATATATTTTTTTTATTGTATTTTATATGAGTGTCCGCTATGTTTAATATGTGATATTTTTGGTTCTACGGCGTCGACTGAATCGACCTCCAATTCCTCAGCTCTTCGGGGCTGGTAATGTATAGTTTTTTTTATAATGTTTTGAGTCAGAATTTTGTTTTTTTTTTAGTGCGTCGTGGCATAAGGACGTGTGATGATTTTTTTTATTATTTCTTTGTATGTGTCTCCATTTTTTTTAGGTCCCTCAACATGACAGGAGTGTCACATCACCACCTGTCATGTTAATGTATTTTATAAAACTTTGTAAATATTTGTTTTTGTGAATATTCTACTGACAATGTGATATGAATAGTGGTACGTTCTTTAACTCATGGTATCCCAATATCTTGTAAGTAATGGCCAAACTACAAACAAATAGTTCGTTAGATTGGAGTCATATGGTCGACTAGAATGGGGGTACCACGTTTGACGCTAGTCGATCACACTGAGGCTTTCACCCCATTTCTTTCCTAAAAAGTTGTAGGTATAATTTTTTAGCTTCGATGCGAAGCTGAGAAGGTATTGGTTTTACTAAGATGTGTTTTTTTTTTGTGTCTGTTACCACTTTTTCTCAGCTCTCACCGAACGGATTTCTTTCAACAATACGTCAAAAGATCACAAATCGTATTTAGTCGAAGACATTACCCTTAAAAATTGAAAAAAAATCCCTCGTTTCCCGTAAATGGGGGAAACCTCCAAAAAAATTACAAATTTAAAAATCGCTAATTTTCAAAATTTTTTCAATTTTTTTTACTAAAAACTGCCATAACTTTTTTAAAAATGAACATATTAATATACTTTTTTTTATACGGATGCATGATATCATAACCTTTCATTTGGTATATTTTTTTGTTATATCTGATCCTTTAACTGTCCATAGGGGGGATTTAAAATGACAACATTTTTACAAAAAATTAACTTTTTCAACTTAACTTTTGAAAATGTTCCGGAAGGTCTGACACTTTTATATATATCTTAAATTAAAGCTAATGTAATGTACTTTATCATGAAAAAAAAAATTTTGGACTTTATTTTGTCTTCAGGGTGAAATTGGCTACCGAATGCTATTTTTGTGTGAAAATTCTCGATTTTATTTTTTTATTTTTAACTTTATAATGCTATAACTTATTGAAAAGTGTATGGATCAACATAATTTTTTTATGAGAAATAATAATTTTTAATAATCTCTTTTTCATTCGATATACTTATTAATAATATTTATATCCCTCTTTTATTCGACATACTTTATCTGAATCAGGATATTAATAACGAACTAGCAGATCATGTTGCTTTTGGAATAATCCACCTATTTTTTATAATTAAACACTATCTAACGATTTGCATCGAAACGTTTTTTATGATAGTGATTTTAATCACTGTCAGATATCATTATACTTGATCCAAATATGTCACGTTACCACTGTGCCGCGACCCCCCTGTGCTGGGTTTTTTTATTCTCTATTTCCTTTAATTTGCAGACGAGGTTTTTTGATCATTATGTTTTTTTGCTTCGCATTAACTTAAATTGTTTTTTTTTTTTTTAAGAAATTCCCTTTCATTTAACTGAATAATAAACTATTTTTCTTGCGTGTTCTGCCTTTAACCGACTCATGTATTTCATTTTTTTTACCATTCAAAAATCATCTTCCCCAAGTTTATAAGGTACGGACAACGGGTTTTTGTTTGAGGTCATTCCATTTTATCATGGTAAAGTGAATACTTAGTCACGAGGTTTTGATTTACATCGACTGTTAACGACTCAATGATCAGTTGATACAAACTAATGTTTCTAAGTGTACAATTTTATTGTCCTAAATATATATTTATGCAAGGTTAAAAAGAATAATTTTTTTTTGTATGGTGACTAGAAATATAAGATAATACTTGAAGTTTATTTTTATTTGATAAAAATAATTAAATTATTTACATTGTTAGTTTTTTTTCTTTAAAATATTATTCCAGTCCGACTTAATGTCTCGCTCAATAGGTTGGCGATCAGTTTCGTTTATTTTTGTTAGGCGCCATAAAAGGTACATTTTCCGTTGTGGCCATAAAATTATAAGTTGATATATATGTAATTTTTCAAAGTAAAGCAGAGATGATAATGCTTATATGGTTGAGTGAAGTTGCTAGAGAAGATAGGATAAGCAACGAACATATAAGAGGAAATAGAGATGTAGCGTCCCCTCAGAGAGTAATAAGCAATTAGTACTACGGACGTAGTGAGCCCTAGGTCCTGAGTTCCTACTGGCGAAAAACCTCAGGTGGACGATTCCAGCAGGTAATGGCGTAAGGAAAGTGGCGTTCCCATCGCCCGGTGTGGAAAACACCGGAATAGCCCCTCGCTAGTTTCAGTAATGTACCCAGTTAGGAGAGAGGAAAAATCCTTCAAAACTTGGGCCCTCCATTAATGGGGGTTGGCGTAGGGGGTTAACCACCCAACTCATAAAAATAACTTGGTTCCGAAACAAAACACAGCAAAGCTTCGGATGACAAATAAATTGCAAAAGTTTATTTTAGGGACATGGAATATACGTATGATGTACGCAGCAGAAGCAATGACGACAGTACTATCCGCACTGCATAAAGATATCGATGCGAAATAGTAGCCATAAAAGAGATCAGATAGACGAATGTAGGGAACATCAAATTTCGTGACGCGACTATATTCTATAATTGTGGTCGAAGCCATGAATATGGCGTTGAGTTCATAGTAAACAACAACATATTACCATTAGTAAGAAACTTCATAACACATAGCGAAAGAATTTGACTCCTACAGTTGGAGTGTAAATAGGGAAACATCGCAATAATAAACTGTCATGTTCCAACTAAGAATAAAGAGGACCAAGCTAATGAAGAGTTCTAAAACCAACTAGAAAGAATTGATGGCAGTATACCTCATAGGACCAGAAAGATTATAATAGGAGAATTTAACGCAAAAATTGATAAAGAACAAATATTCAAACCTACAAACACAGCCTACTCATAATATCCAACGATAATAGGAGCAAAGTTATCTCATTTATTCGTGTTTCCCAACAAAGAATTACATAAACAAACCTGGATGTCGCCTGATGGTCATACAAAAAAAAACCAGATAGACCAAGTTGTGGTGGTTGAAAAACTCAAACATAGTGTACAAGATGTAAAAAGCTACAGAGGGATGAGTAGTCATTCAGATCATTTTCTAGTCAAGGTAAAACTGCATATAAAACTACCCACAAAATGGAATCAAAAAAGAAAAACTTAAAACTATTTAAGTTTTAAAATTTAAAACATAAATTAAAGGAGGAATAGATAGCTTATGAATATAGAAAAAAATTAAAAGACAAGATGAACAACAACTTATACCTATAATATCAAGAACATTTGTCATAATTAAGAAAAACGATAAAAGATGTTACAGTCA